CTATCAAATACCAACCAGTTGGATACAAATCCAAATAAAAGAAACAGGCACCACTAGCAAGAACACAAAGCCACCCTTACCAGTAACTATAGAGGAACTGCAAAACCAGTTAACGACTCTAGACCCTGAATTACAGCTACAATTACCTATTAAAGCATATATAGATATCGAAACAACACTAGATAGTATCAGCAACTACTTTAATATCACGATTCCCCAAGCTATATCCACAACCTACCGGACCTCCCAATGCCCGACTAGGATATCATTGATAATTATAAGCCGATTTTGCCATGAGTGGAACAAATTCAAAACTGACTTACTGTTGGACAATTCAATCTATAATAACCATATCTCCAATACAGTTTCTGTATCACAAACAATAAATATACAAACCCCAATAGCCCAAACTCCTTTCAATAAAAATACAGACACATATTTAGAAATCATAGTTCACAATGTGCAGGAAATAAATAGCAATCTAAAATATACGACTTGGCTTCAATATTGCAATAGCTTAGATACCGACGTAGTCATTATGACCAAAACAAAGTTATCCTCTGACCATACTCACCCAGCTAGCCTACTCAACCCTTGGTACAAAGTCTACACAGCAAACTGTGACGCATACAACGCAACCACAAGACAATTGATGAAAGGAGTAGCCATCACATTGAAGCCCTACATACAACCATACATACATAATATTAAAACAATACCAGGTTATGCACTCCCAATAGATCTATTTTTACCTAATAATAATAAAATTCGAATAATTGGGGTATATATTCTATCCCAACTATCAGCCCAAACTAACTCTGCGTAGCAAACAATTATCAACTAGATACAACAAGCAAGATCCTATAATTATAATACTATGATAGTCGGAGACTTTAACTCTAACGCATACAGATGTAACTCTTCCACCCTCATCGCTTATCTTGCCAATTCTAATTTGATTAGCCTACTCAATTTCTTCGATATCGATAGTTCTACTTGGCAAAGTAATAACTCATCAAGCCAAATAGATGATATATAGGTCAGCCCAGAGATAACACTAGACTTTACACAGCCATTATTACTATCAGCAGCAATATCAACCAATAGTGACCACCAAATTATCTAGTCATGTTAGACTATCCCGAAAATATTATCTGTACCCCATATGAAGAAGACAAGGCGAAAAATATACTTATACCAAAAGACTACTTCCGATGACTAGCAACTTTTCAAAGATTATATTGACACCCAAACAAGAGCTGTTTCTACCATGTACAAGCCAATAACAGATCAAACATCTATCAACAAAGCTTGGAATAACATACAGCAGATAATCAAACAAGCAGCTAACAAATATATCCCATACAAATTTGTCTGATCAAAACAATTTAAAGCTTACTCGCAGAAAGCAACCCAGCTCCACTACTAAATTTTTTCTCTACTATAAGGTCCTTGCACTGTTTCTATAGCACTACAACCTAAAAAAAATAAATCACATATTATCCTTAATACTTCTCCTACCTCCTTATTCAATGATCTACCTGGTGTCAACCATCAACAAAGACTTAGAAAGCATTGAGAATGTGCAAACTATATTACCTACAATTGTCACCACAGACCTAGAAACTGCTAATTTTAATTTACTACTACTTAGATTAAAGGAGTTACGTAAAGCTCTGTTCATTGCTTGAAATTTAGAAAACCAACAACAGCAAAAGCAAACAATATATAATAACATCATTAGGAGACAGAAAAATTTTACAGACCATACAACAAGGATGATCGATAGCATTTTAAAAAAGAAGCACCAACATATCCAATCTATCAATATTGTAGCATCTTCGGCAGTCATCACTGAACCTACAGCAATTAAAGCAGAAACCTCAAAACACTTTGAGTCATAGACAGATTACAACCCTACAAACTGGAATATGTGGCCACAATGGAAACAATACTACAAACCTCTAACTACGATTGACAGCAGTTACTATTTGTCATTAAC